CCCTGCATCCTGGGCTGTCAGTCAGACAGCCAAACACAATGCTCTCCACCATAAGTCCAAGCAGAGGTGACTATTGGACAAAATGTCAGTTTGATTAATGCCAAACCTCTGGTTCAGGTTTATGATGGTTTCACATCACAGTGCAGGTCATTAGAGCAACATCTGACAAGCAGGATCAATAGCTGCTTGAGGTTTCCCCTGTCTCATAGCCAATATACTTGTGATTTGCCCCATCATGTCGCCAACACACTTGAGGTTTGCTCCATTAGGTTGACAACATTCTTGAGGTTTGCCCCATCTTGTGGCCAAACAACTTACGGTTTGCCCCACTGGAGAGTCAACACACTTGTTTTTCTGCCCCATCATCTGACCAAAACACAAAACATTTGCTTCATTGTGTAACTAGCACACTTCAGGATTACATCATTGGGTAGCCAGCAAGCTTGAGGATTACATCACTGGGTAGCCAGCAAGCTTGAGGATTACATCATTGGGTAGCCAGCAAGCTTGAGGTTTGCCCTATTGTGTAGCTAAATCATAAACAGAATTTGCATGTTTGGTTCCAGGTACTGTATTAACAAAAAATAAACAACTATGTACATTAAAGAACCAACTAAAGAAATCCAACCAGAATTTTTACTTTACCTAGGAACTGTAGAGTATGATAATTTATCGTTTCGGAGCAAGGTATATAGAAAGATGTAATTAGGGGTAATAACATACTCAGCATCCTAGAATCAAGTTGGGAGCCAAAGATTCATAGAGCCAACAGGGGATCCTCTTCAATTCTCACAGATTATAACCTCTTTCAGAGGCACTGATCTTTTGACATCTACAGGAATCTACAGGAAGCCTGTGTAAGTCGGCCTCTCATGCCCTCGTTTCATGTGGAACATTCCCAAAAGGAACACGCCCAAGTCCAGATAGACCTTTATATTACAGGACCACCTTGCTCTTCACAGATCGGATTTCAAACACAGGAGTGAAAGATGTGTTTAAGCACTAATACCACTGGGAAATGCAGCTATCACTGCATGGCCTTAGACAACATTCACAGACTTTAAGACCAAGAATGCAATAAATCTTAGTAATGCACTTGTTCTGTTAAACCAAAAGAAACCAGTGATTAGTCAGGGACCATAGGACACATATAGATGTTTAATGGTCACAAAGACATCAGTCGTCAGGCAAGCTTTCTAGAATAAGAATAAAAGAGTATTATTATTATTACTACTATATTACTTTAACATTGTGGTGTTAATTACAAACAACCGAGAAGAGACACCTGCAAATCCAAAAGATCCAAATTCCCTGTACTTATTGAGTTACCATGATACTCTTGCATCATGAAGCGTAAACTGATGATAAACGGGGCATGCCTCTCCTTCACTGCATTTCCGTGCACCTAAGCCACGCCTCTCCTTCGCTGCATTTCCATGCACCTAAGCCACGCCTCTCCTTCGCTGCATTTCCGTGCACCTAAGCCACGCCTCTCCTTCGCTGCATTTCCGTGCACCTAAGCCACGCCTCTCCTTCGCTGCTTTTCCGTGCACCTCCCCCACCCCCCCGCCCAGCGTAAATGTCACAGAGGCAGCCCGCCTTGTGATGGTGGCCAGGCCAGGGCAGCTCAAAGCACATGGGCACAGGCATATCCAGGAAAGGGTTCACTGCCCTCCCTTATATCTGAAAGGGGTGCTATTTGACACCAATCCTGTAGGTTGCATATGTGTAATTCTCCATCCATCCATCCATCCACCCATTTTCTATACCCACTTGTCCTGTGCAAGGTTTGGTGGGGGGGGGTGGTTGACAGAACTCACTGACAAAAAAAAAAACCTAGATGAACATATAGATGAAATGTTACTAAAGATATTAAAACACCGTCCTTTTGCATATTTTCATATCTTCTGCAGCCAAGTGTCTTCTGAAGACATTTTAGCTGTTGAGTATTTCGGTTTTTAAGGAATGAGGAGCAGATTGGGAGCTCATGGCCTGGAAAGGAAGAAAGACGTGAGTTTAGTAGAGAAGATGAGCTGCTCTTCTGTATCGCAGGAATCCGCATGAGCCTGTCATTAAGCCCTGGCTCCCCCTCACCTGCTCTCAGAGCTCACTGTCATGTTGTGTAAAAGTGATTTACCCCACAGCTACGCCAGTAGACATGTGGACCCCCATCCCAAGAGAGGATCTAAATTTCAGCTGGGGGGTGGTTTATGTGATTCCTCAATTTATGTCAGCCGCAAAGAATCCTAAGTATGCTCTGTCCTCCTACAGTCATCGCACTGCATTCTTCAAAGAGATCTCTACTGGAATACTTTCAAAATCACTAAAAACCATTTCATAAAATCATAAAATCATTTATTTGTCTTATTTGCTCCAAGCTGATTATCTTAATCCTGCTTAATCGGCCTGTGCACAGCATACATACTGACTTCAGCATGGTGTTAAAAGTCAAAGCTACGCCCTTCCAAAGGAGGGTGTAATGAGAGGCTCCCAGATCAGGGGCTGGTTCACCTCCATCGCTTCTGCAGCGCATCGCATTCATCTGCGGCACTAAACTTTAACGTCCCCCAGAGACACCCAGTCACTGAAGAATATGTCCCTTATTGCTGGCCAGTATTTTATAAAACAAGCAGCCTTGTTCTAAAGGCAGGTTTCCCACAGCACCTGGTACCCATAATGACTAGTGGGCCAGGGGCCCGATCCATAATGAACTGTTCCAGTGCCTGAGCAGGCGGTTCTAGCTCATAAACGGCAGCAAGAACCAGAGGGTTCGGGTTGGATTGCTAACACCTGTCACTTACAAAGCAGCAGACAGTTAAAGCAGCACAATTACACTGTGTAACACAGGACTTACAGGAGTAAGTCAAGGATGTCAAGGATGTTTATCTATGACTGTGTTAATCACCAGAGAAAAAAAATTCCCTGTACACATTTAAAAAACTGATCAACATATAGTGTCAAACTTTGGGTTGGGATGGCAAACAGATCCAGAAAAAAGTGTGTTTGGTCAGTGAGTGGCAGATTTATTAGGAGAAAGGTTTCTCTGTATTAGGATTTATGAAGTGTGGAGTAGTACATGTGGAGTGTGGAGTAGTACATGTGGAGTGTGGAGTAGTACATGCAAGGTGCCGTTTCTCCAGGGACAACAGAAATCACAAGAAGCATTTCACTGCAAATGTCCCTGGCTGGAATCAGGATCTCTGTGGTACTGGGAAGGGCATTACAAAGGAACATACCAAGTTACTACTGGGAGGAGGGGCAGGTGAGCTGTATTATGGCCATTGATCATCGTCATCTGACTCTCCCTCCGACAGGAATGCCATACCCACCCATTCACCAGCTAAATCACTGCCTTTCCCACATATCAGCCAATCACTGCATGTGACATAAGGCATTTAACCTTGATCTGCTAGGCCACTGCATGCGAGGCCCGGTTCTCTTTATCTCTGGGTCACAGATAACACAGCACCTCTGATGCTTACAGAAATGGTTCTGTTGACCTCATTCACTGAGGCAGATCTTAGCCTGTCACAGTTTCCACATTTTAAAACAATGGCTTAAACAGGAAAACCACATCGGTCTGGGTGTTTTCCAGATCAGATACTTAATTACCCCCAGAGCCTTTCACGCAAATAATAATGACAATAACCACTGACTAACACTAAGGATTACAATCAAGCCTGTCAGTCACATCTGCTGTTTGCAACAACTTATTTCCTTTGATATCAAATCCGGAGCACTTTGGCACACTTCCGGTCGGCACATTGCAGTCATGCTTCCTGTGAGTGGGGGGTCTACGGAAGCATGACGCGGAATGAATCTGCAACATCCCTAATGCTACAGAAGGGCACATGGCATAAACTGGCTTCAGGGAGTTTGTTTGTGTGTTTACAAGTGTGAGCTACATTGGCAGTCAAAGACAAATGCTTCCAGTCTCGGCTTTAAGTGATTGCAAGACAGAAACATAATCATGATTACATTATGATTAATGATTACAAGTATGGAAATATAGTAGTGTACTAAAATTTTCACATTTATTTTCACATTTATTGTTATTTACCAGGACCCATGCTCTATGGAGTATTGCTCGATAAAGGCCGGGAGTAATGTACCTCTGAGCACCCACGGACCCATGCTCTATTGAGTACTGCTCGATAAAGGCCGGGAGTAATGTACCTCNCCGGGAGTAATGTACCTCTGAGCACCCACGGACCCATGCTCTATTGAGTACTGCTCGATAAAGGCCGGGAGTAATGTACCTCTGAGCACCCACGGTCCCATGCTCTATGGAGTACTGCTCGATAAAGGTCAGGAGTAATGTACCTCTGAGCACCCACGGTCCCATGCTCTATGGAATACTGCTCGATAAAGGCCGGGAGTAATGTACCTCTGAGCACCCACGGACCCATGCTCTATGAAGTACTGCTCGATAAAGGCCGGGAGTAATGTACCTCTGAGCACCCACGGGCCCATGCTCTATGGAGTACGACTGCTTGATGTGACTCTGTACAGCACTTTGGTCAACCTTGGTTGTTTAAAAGTGCTTTATAAATAAACTTGGATTTGATTTGATTTGATAAAGGCTGGGAGTCATGTACCAAAGTGTCCATGAACAAGTGGGAGCTGTATTTCACTGAGGAAGTTTAACCCACAGTGACACTTCAAGTACAACGGGTAATTGACAATTAACTCTGGTTCTGAACCCCATGATCTCATGGAGGAACTAGACACCTCCATGTGTGCAATCGCTCAAGGTTAAAACGTATATTCAGCTTTCATGCACTTTGTAATTCTTTTTTTATTAAACTGCAAACTAATTTGCATGCTTGTTCTGAAGAGGAAAAATCCAGTACTCAAATCCCTCTCCCAGAGCCCAAAACATCAGCCTCAGGAGGTCTACATGAAGGTGTGGAGCACTGAACATGAAACAGCTACAAGGGCCAGCATTTACTGCACATTTGGGACTCGTCAGGTTTAGAGACCAAGAGACAGATACTTACCTGAAGTGCCAGCCTCATCGTCACACCAGTGAAAGGGCAGGGAGCAATCTGCAAAGCCATGTTGAACGTAGCAACCAAGGATCGTCTCTAGGTCCCATGTGCTGTTGGTCACAGGGTGGAGAGCTGGTCCTTATCTGTGATAAGAAGATTTGGACTTGGACTAGCATTGTACACAAAAATGCAGCACAAACCAAGTGGTATATTGCCAGAAAATACTTCATGTGGCAGATCGTTGTGGTTTCTGGGAATCCAGAGCCTACATCTATAAAATCAGCAAGCCCTCAACCTCCAACCAGATGCAACAGCAGTGTAACACAATACTGCTTCTCTTGGCACTTGCTATAAGAAATTATACTTGAACATTGTTCAAAAAAGTTGCCTCATAACTTTAAAAACAGTATATTTTTATTTTAAAATATTTGCTAAGTACACATAAAGAAGAAAAACATGTTTTACCCAAAATAAACATCTGTAAATTTAATCCCTTGTAAAGAATGAAAAAAATTCACCATCTCCAGTGCTGTGGATATCATAATATATCAAATAATTAATCATAATTATAATTAAATCAACCCCAAGTCAGCCCTGAAGAGGTGCATTACTATACAAAGACTTTGCAGCATCTGTTTAATTTAAAATCAATCATTATGTAAATATTATTGGTAAGATATGAAAAAGAAACTAAAGGAATTCTGTAAAAGCCCAGGTCCCAAATTTGTGCCAACGAAAATGACATTCACGTTCAGCACTACAAAAAAGCCCGGTTCATGCTGTACACACACACACACACACACACAATTAGAATTTTAACCCTAAATCAAATCAAATCACTTTTATTGTCACGCCACTTGTCACCAGTACACTGTACACCAATACATGTGAGTGAAATGCTTGTGTGCAAAGCCGTGCGAAGCAGCCGTAGTACGACACGAATTAACAATCAAAATATAACCATATAACATATAAAACATTTGACAAATCTATGTATGTACAAAAGTGTGTGCAGTGGTGCAACAAGACTGTACAGTTAATAATGTGCAACGTGTGGTAAATGGCTGAGTGTTGGTGGCCAGTGTTAGTGGTCAGAGTTCAGCAGTCTGATCGAGATGCAAACAAAGCCAGAGCAAGAGACTCGAACCCAGGACCCAGAGGTGTGAGGCAAAAGTGCCACCACACCAGAAAACACACATAACAGAGTAAATATAGTCACAGCTAAAAATGTTGCCGGAGCACTTTATGGTTAACAAAGGTACGTGGTACTAATGCGTGCTGGAGAACCTACAGTATGGTTATCAAAGGTACGTGGTACTAATGAGTGCTGGAGAACCTATGGTTATCAAAGGTACGTGGTACTAATGCGTGCTGGAGAACCTACAGTATGGTTAGCAAAGGTACGTGGTACTAATGCGTGCTGGAGAACCTACAGTATGGTTAGCAAAGGTACGTGGTACTAATGC